AAGTGTGAAAAAAAAAAAAAAAAAAAAAAAAAAAAAAAAAGATGGTGTTGGGGGGGGGGGGGGGGAATGAAGTGAAGAGAAAGGAACAAACCATGCCTTAAACAGTCAGTGGCATTTCCACCTGCTTACTCCAGGGCTGAATCTGGTTCAGAGAATGCTGTACCCCCTACCCATTCCTATTTAATGTTCAGACAAAAAGCTGGAGTCTTAGGGCCAGGCTCCGGTACCACTGAAATCACTGGAGTTTTGCCATGGACCAAAAGATTTGGATTAAGATTTTCATGGATTGGACTGCTCCGTTTCTGGCTGACTAACCCGAGACATTGTAAGGGAACCCGAGTTTCAGAAAGTGCTGGCAACTGCCCGCTTTCAATTGGGCATTCAGACACGGAGGTACCACAACTCACTAGTCACTTTTAAAACTTCTTGTCTTTGATCCTTAAAAGATCAGTTCCTTTGCAGCTCTTCCTTCCCTGTCTGATCCCCCCACTATTAACACTTGTACTTGTCCTACTTTCATTGATTTGCCTGTTTCCAATAGGTGTGCATGGCTCTCCAAATTTCAAGACAATGGGCAGTGGCTGCAGATTGACATGAAAGAGGTCAAAGTGATCTCAGGGATACTCATGCAGGGGCGCTGTGATGCAGATGAGTGGATAACAAAATACAGCGTGCAGTACAGGACTGATGAGAACCTGAACTGGATTTACTACAAGGACCAGACAGGAAACAACCGGGTCAGTGGGAGCATTGTTGGTGAAGACAGTTTTAAGCTACATGCAAAGCTTGGCTCACAGTGGGTGATAGCCTTTGCAGAACATCGACACAAACCCTTTGCCCCATTAAATCAAATTGATTTATATATTTTAGACAGACGCATCTGTCTGACTGTCCATCCATCTGTGAGTCTGTTGGTTCAAGAACTGATCCTAAATGGTAAGAGCTAGGGCCGCCAAATTTGGTAGGCAGCTTCCTCTTACCCTAACTGAAAGCAAGGTCAGGATTTGGTTGTGCCAAGAAAACAGGAAGCGCTGGGAATGGGACCATTTTCCATAACATGGAAAGGGAGAGGCACAGAGGGGGATGCATTACTGAGAGTAGCTACTGGGGGCAGCAAGCCTGCAGGGGAGAGCTACTCTGCAGAGTGGCCAGGGGGATCGGGAGGAGACAGAAGGCCCCTGCTGGCAGCTGGGGTAAGAGAGAAGGCCCCTGCTAGCTGGGGAGTTTGGGGGAGAGAAAAGGCCCTGCCAGCTGTAGGGGCAAAAACAAGGCCCCACCAGATGGGACCCTCACCCCAAGCCTCTTCACTCCCCAACCCTCACTCTCGCACACACACACACGCCTCCAGCCTCCTGCTCCTGCCTCCCACTCACATACCCAAGGCCCTGTTCTGACTCCTGCACTCCCCACAATGCCAGTCCCCTGCCCTGAAGGACTTGGCAACACCAGGTAAGTCTTCTAGTGAAGTTATAAAAGAAAATATGGGCCGGTTTTTCTTGCACCTGCGTTCTTCTCAGAGTAGGAAGGAAGAGTGTCAGCTCGCAGGTTGCATTCCTGGATCCTCCTGGCTGGTTTGTAACACCCCAGATCTCAGCAGTACTTACAGAAACTACCAGGAAGTTCTAAGATATGCCGCTGAAACGGCAGATCCTAATGAGCCCCCCATCGGTGGAGGATTTGTCATAGTAGAGCTGTGCTTCCCCACATCCAGACACGCCCTTTCCCACCCTGTCCACCAGCCTACACCGGGGTGGGCAGAGGGCTTAGGAGGACATAGATTGGTTAGATCTATGCTACCAGGGAGTTCTCCTCCTAGATAGAATTCTCTGCTGGCCTTATGCAGCCATTTCATTTGCATTGCTGTAGAGAACCCAGCCTGAGAAAGCCGACTCATCTACCCACAGAGTAAGGAAAGGCTGGGATTAAGCTGACTCTTGTCATGTGCTCTACTAATTTGGTCCCTTACCACTTTCTGTTTAGCAAAGCCCTCACGATACATATGGGCTGTGTCTAGACTGGCCAGTTTTTCTGGAAAATCAGCCACTTTTTATGGAAAAACTTGCCAGCTGTCTATACTGGCCGCTTGAATTTCTGCAAAAGCACTGACGATCTCATGTAAGATTGTCATTGTTCTTGCAGAAATACTATGCTGCTCCCCTTCGGGCAAAAGTCCTTTTGCGCAAAAGGGCCACTGTAGACAGCTCAGATTTGTTTTCCGCAAAAAAGCCCCGATCATGAAAATGGCGATTGGGGCTTTTTTGCGGAAAAGCGTCCATGCCAATGTAGACGCTTTGTTCCAAAAATGCTTTTAACGGAAAACTTTTCCGTTAAAAGCATTTCTGGAAAATCATGCAAGTCTAGACACAGCCTTGCAATATAAATAGAGACACGAGAAAATACTGAAGAACACTCACAATGGATAGGGTAAAAAGAGGGGAGACATAAAGGCACGTATCCCTCAGGGTCAGGAATCCCTTGCAGCAGCTCTTACTTTAATGACAAGAAAAGGAAACCACAGAGTGATACCTTACTACTGGAATAAGTGAGCATACGGGTGCCTTGGTTAGTCTTTGTTTGAAGTGCCCGGACTAGTTTGGAAACTGGTAGAATTTTTGGCACTGTAAGGAACTTCTCAAGCACAACCACACTCACAGCAAAGTCATGTTCTTGGGGAGGCCGTATGTCACTGAGAAGCCCTTTGTCACCGTTAGATGTGAAATGAAAGCTGGAGGGTTACCCATGACTGGCACTACAGCAAATAACATTGGAGGGCTTTTGTCAGGTAACCATGGGATTGAAAGGAGTCTGAATGGCTTGTGGTAGCCTGGGGTGTCCACAGGATGTACAGGGAGTAAAGAACAGGAGTTTCACAAGAGCCTAAGGTACCGCGCTCCCCATTAACATTTTGGGATTGGTGATGAAAACTTGTGCAATCAGGTACAATTTTAGGAGGCCAAATAGTTTTGGATTCCAAAATTAAGCACAGCAGGACAGGGAAGCGGGCACATACTTCCAAAGATGTTGCACTGCTGTTTTAAACCCTGGTACCAGCTGGACCAATTTCTCCCTGCCCTCCCCCCAGCATCACAGACACTAACCTCACTCCCTCCTCAGCCTGCTGCTAGCAGCAGAACATGTACTGTGCTGTACAGATCAGCACTCATTCAAAATTTCACCATTTAGAAAAAAGTGATGCTCAGATTTGTCATTATTTAAATACACAGTCAGTGACACACTTACTTTGTCAAACTGCCAGCTACAGGCTAACAAAGCCAGGTCAAATTGTAAAGGGGAACCTGCCAAGGAGACTGCAGTACCTGGCAGCAAAGCATAGACTGTGATAAACCTCCCCCCTCCCAAGTCTGAAGGAGAGATGTCTCTCATTCTCTCAAAATCCATGGGTGGCCTGACTTTCATTTACACAGTGGCACCTTTCTAGTACCGAAAGGGATGTGAAAGAGCCCAGGTACAAATGAGAAATAAAAATGACAAATCTTGTTGCAATTCTTTCCTGTCCTACTTGGGTCACTTTTCTTTAAAACCTGTGTGACTTTTGTGGGGACAAGAATGATAGGTCTGAAACTCCCCTGCTTTACACTAGTTTTACACAGTTGTAACTCCACTCCTGACTTGGTAACTTCACCTTTGGTCAAATGAAAGAGGTTCGTTTTGAGTGACCAATATTGTCATCAACGCTGCCTTGTGCAGACTTCACAGCATGTCATTAAGCAAGTCATATTCTTGGCTTGCACACTGGTGTGCATGAAAATGGATTTTCACCTGATCTGGGGAAAGAGAAGATCTCGCTCTTTAACCCACTTTGCTGTGCACTAACCTGCCTTTTTCTTTCTTGATGTTGTGTAGGTTTTCTATGGAAACTCAGACCGATCATCCATTGTCCAGAATCTCCTGCGCCCGCCTATTGTTTCCCGCTACATCCGATTAATACCATTAGGTTGGCACGTGCGCATTGCCATCAGGATGGAGCTTCTGGAGTGCATGAGTAAATGTACTTAAAGTCCAACCACTCATGGCTTTCAAAGGGGTGTGAGGAGAATCCCTAGCAAACTGTAGAAAGACAGTAAACACAGTGATGAGGGTAGCAAAGATGGGCTCGATTCTGCCATAACAACCCACAGCCCAAGGATGTAAGTCAGAGCAGAATCTGGCCCCAGTTAGTTTTGTTGAAACTGATCCCAGGAACTGAGCTGTGCAGAAATACCTCGTTTTGTGTCTTGAAATTTTCAGTGAAAACACAGGGTCTGGGCAATGAATTGCATCTGCGCTCACCAAAGCAAGAAAATGTCGAACCTACTGCCCCCATTCCAAAGGCCAGAAGAAAATGTTTACCAAAAATATCTTCCTCTCAAGACTAATTTTTTCCCACAAGGGCTGCAGAAGATCGTACCTTTCCATTGATGCTTATCGGCCTTGCTTAGGGGAACTAAAGCCCAGCAAAGACTTAATTTTATTTTTTAAGCACCTTTGCCTATGATTTCACACAGCTCCAGTTTCTGATTATAATCTAGTTTAACTGCTAATCTCCCATTGAATAAAATTAAAAGAAATTGTACTCTGTGTTTGCTTACAATATTTTCAAAGATTTAAAATGTACCAGTAAGAGTTTAGAGGGTTGCTTAAAATTGTATTTGGTGAATGTGATTTGAATATCTAGGTGTTTATCTGTAAATAATGAAACCAAACTTTTTGTTATATGCATTGCTTCTGCAAGTATACAGGGTAAATGCTCATCATGTAAATTAAAGGCCTTTCTGGAACTGAAAGGGATTTAATAGCATATTAAGTAATAAAGCCAAAATTATTATGGAAGTGCATTGATTTTTGAGGGAGAAATCTTAGCAAAATAAGGAAAAGTGCACTGTTTTTATCAGGCTGTTGGGGCACTAGTTCTCATCTTAGATGGATGAATACTTCCTTTGATGCCTATTCTTAACTTATCTAACTCCCTCAAGTCCCTGATCTTGCCTCTGTCAATGGACAATCAGAAATGTACATGGTGTCACTGAGCAGCACAGGAAGAGGGAATTCTTTCCAGATGCCTTATCATCAGATTACATCAGATTGAACATAGCAGCACACACAGCTTAAAATGCTGTTATAGACTTAACAAATCGAACAAAGCATTTAATGAATTTAGTGCTTTTCACCCTAAATATTTAAACAAACTTCACTCTATGCCTCAGATATACCGTAACTATTAAACCCATTATACAGTGAGCTTGTAGCAAGACTGGGAACCTGAATTAGTCCTAGACATCCCATGAAGTTGCATAAGGCCTTGCTCCACATGCAGATGTCAGACCAAGCAGCCAGTTCCCCCTCACAGCCTATGGGATTCTGGTGCTAACTGAGGTATGCAGAATGCAAGCATAGATGGCGATGTTTGGTTTCAAGAGTAGTGAGTGCACTGGTGTGTGCAGGGACAAAGAGAAGACCTTGTAACACACACTCATCAGTGGATTACACTAGTACCTGGATTCTGAGTCCTTTACAGGGAGCTAACCAGAGGCCACTGAGCCTCCTGAACAAGTGTGTTTTACGTCAGCCAAAAGGAGTGGTACATGTCATGGCTGGGAGGGCACATCATGTGAAGAAAGTGGGATGGTGGCAAAGGGGGCTTGGTACATGATTCATTGGAACACATTGATAATAAATCAGAAGCAGGAAAAAAAATGCTCCTGTGGCAAGTTTGCAGACTTCTGCTCATTTGTAACAACAGGCTAACAGCTGCAGTGCTACAGGAAACACCTTTCACCATATGCTTGTGCAGTATCCTATGTTTTCACTGGTTGCTTGCCTCCCAAGTATAATTTAAAAAAAGAAGAGCCCCCCCTCACCATAAAGAGAAACACCATTCATTAATACCAGGTTGGAAAGTCTTCTTTTATCATCTTTTGTATGAAGGTTTCTAACATATCTCCTGAGGTGCTCAGAGCCAAGGGGTGCACTTTCTGGAACTCCCCCTGAAGCCAAAAGGAGTGCCTTGTGCACAGCACTTACAGAACTGGTTTCTAGGGCAACAATACATTGAAGACATTGCAAATAAAATGAAATGTTGATGGGGTTTCTCTATCTGAAGTAGCCACTTCCCCCCTATTAAACTAACACTGAGAACTAAGGGGTTCTTGGCCTAGGACGCAGTAACCATTAAGTTAACAGATTGCACCTTCATTTTATCATGATGTTAAAATATCTTATTCCTCTGACTCTGGGGTTACTACTTCCCAACTGCTGTAGCCCATGTCTACGGTAAACATGTTCTCCTCAACATCTTACCATCACCCCTCCTAAACTCATAACTCTCCCTTCTTCTGCTCCCTGCATTTAGGAAAGCTTGTTTCTCTTTTCCCAGGAGGAGTAATTCCTTCTTAATGTAGATTTTATTCAACCTCCATGGCCAGCCAAGGGAAGTGAGGGTGGGGGCAGGGGGAGGGTGAGAAACAGATGTTGAGGCTGCTGTTTTTGTTGTGGGCATGTGACTAGAGAGCTCTGAGGGAAATAGCCAGTCAGAATGGGGGAATTTATAGTGACTGGGAAGAGATTCTACACATTTGGCTCAACAGGTGAGATGGAAACATACAAACCTTGAGCTCTGATTGGCTAACAATGGCCATGAATCAGAGTACAGTGCTTTGCATATGGTCCTG